GAAGTGAAATCTGTTGAAATGCACCATGAAGCTTTGAGTGAAGCTCTTCCTGGGGACAATGTGGGCTTCAATGTCAACAATGTGTCTGTCAAAGATGTTCGTCGTGGCAACATTGCTGGTGACAGCAAGAATGACCCACCAATGGAAGCAGCTGGCTTCATTGCTCAGGTGATCATCCTGAACCATCCAGGCCAAATCAGTGCTGGCGATGCCCCTGTACTGGATTGCCACACGGCTCACATCGCATGCAAGTTTGCTGAGCTGAAGGAAAAGATTGATCACCGTTCTGGTAAAAAGCTGGAAGATGGCCCTAAATTCTTGAAGTCTGGTGATGCTGCCATCGTTGATATGGTTCCTGGCAAGCCCATGTGTGTTGAGAGCTTCTCAGACTATCCACCTCTCGGTCACTTTGCTGTTCGTGATATGAGACAGACAGTTGCCATGGGTGTCATCAAAGCAGTGGACCAGAAGGCTGCTGGGGCTGGCAAGGTCACCAAGTCTGCCCAGAAAGCTCAGAAGGCTAAATGAATATTACCCCTAATACCTGCCACCTTAGTCTTAATCAGTGGTGGAGGAAAAAAAAAATTTTTATAATTAATTTTTAAATTTTTAAGAAAATGAAAAAAAAATAAAGAAAAAAGTGGAATTGCTGCATCAAGAGTTTTCACTGTCTTTTTTTCTTTATATAGTTTGCCATATTTTTACATATCTCAATGTAACTCCCTACAAAACATTTATCATTTAAAAAGGAAAAATAGGCGGGGCACGGTGGCTCACACCTGTAATCCCAGCACTTTGGGAGGCGGAGGTGGGTGGATCACAAGGTCAGCAGCTCAAGACAAGCGTGGCCTGCATAATAAAACCCCATCTCTACTAAAAATACAAAAATTAGCCAGGTGTGGTGGCAGGTGTCTGTACTCCCAGCTACTTGGGAGGCTGAAGCAGGAGAATCACTTGAACCTGGGAGGTGGAGGTTGTAGTGAGCCAAGAACGTGTCACTGCACACCAGCCTGGGTGACAGAGTGAGACTGCATCTCAAAAATAAAAATAAAAAGGAAAAACAGTAACTTTACAGTGGAGAGACATGGGAGATACTCTATTGTGATCAAAGTGAAAATCACTAATAATTGGACAAATAGACATTGTATACCTCTCTATATGAACCATTGAGGAGAATACAGCATTATCTTTTGTGGTGTTCCTGAAAAAACAAATGCATAAAAGGACTCTGCCTTAAACCTTTGTAATGGTTTATACTCTATGTAGTCTTCATCTTGCCTTTGTTATTCATCATGATTGTGAGATTCATCCTTGAAACTAGGGATACTTGAATCCCTAATTTATTTATTTTCCCTATTATATAATTTTCTGTTCTCTGGATATACCACAATATGTACATTCTTTTGCCAATGGATATTTAAATCTTTGTTTTCCATATTTTGCCATTACAATCAAGGCTGCCATGAATACTCTCACACTTCTGCAGAGTACATTATTTTAAGACATAAAATTGAATAATGGAATTTTCTGATAAGCATTAGCACTTTTCTTGCTCTGTCATGTCCTCATACCTGAGAATCATTGTGAATAATGGGTCAGGAGTCAGAAAACTGATTCATGTGTCTAGTTCCTAATTCCTTGTCTCACATAAGACATTTAAAACCTTTGAGCCTTTGTTTCCTTATCTGTAAAACACTGTTATAAAAATTGGGCCAGGCGCAGTGGCTCAAGCCTGTATACCCAGCACTTTGGGAGGTGGGGGTGGGCGGATCACGAGCTCAGGAGTTCCAGACCAGCCTGGCCCATGTGGTGAAACCCCGTCTCCACTAACAATACAAAAATTAGCCAGGCGTGGTGGCAGGCGCCTGTGATCCCAGCTACTCAGGAGGCTGAGGATGGAGAATCCCTTGAACCTGGGAGGCAGAGGTTGCAGTGAGCAAAGATTGCGCCGCTGCACTCCAGCATGGGCGACAGAGCAAGACTCCGTCTCAAAAAAAAAAAAAAAAAAAAATCAAATGAGTTGGTGCTCATGAAAGCACTTTATAAACAGTAAAGCACCATGCAAATGTAAGTTGTCACTGTTTATTGTGTGCCACCCCTTTCCTAAGGTATCTCCTGTGAGAGGAGGAACCATGTCTCTCCTATTTGTTTCCTATTGCATCCCTAGTACCCAGAATGAGGCTGGCACAGAATAAATAAGCATTGCATTTGTATTAATCAGGGAAGACTAATGGCTGTAACAATCTCAAAACTCTGGGGAGCTTAAGAAAATCAAAGTTTATTTCTCTCTTATGTCACAGTCAGCTATAAACCAGCCAGGGGAGCCCTTCCTTAGCAAAGATCTCAGATCCGTCTTGTGGCTCCACCAACTCCAAAGTTCTTGGAGTATCCACCCAAGGAGAGGCTGGCCCATAAAGGTACAGAATCATGCATGAGATTTGACAGGCTGGCCGGGCGCGGTGGCTCAAACCTGTAATCCCAGCATTTCAGAAGGCCAAGGCGGGCAGATCACGAGGTCAAGAGATCGAAATCATCCTGACCAACATGGTGAAACCCCGTCTCTACTAAAAATACAAAAATTAGCCAGGCATGCTGGCACGCACCTGTATTCCCACCTACTCAGGAGGCAGAGGCAGGAGAATCACTTGATCCTGGGAGGCAGAGGTTGCAGTGAGCTGAGATCACGCCACTGCACACCAGGCTGGTGACAGAGTGAGACTCCATCTCAAAATAAAAATTAAAAAAAAAAAAAGGAAGATTTGACAGGCCAAACCCGGGAATGATGTATTTCACTCTACTCCATTCCACTGTACAGAATTCAGTCATTGACCACATCTTATTCTGAGGATTGATAGAAAATGTAGTTCAGCAATTGCCTTGGGAATAAAACAAAATTGGTTGGATCAACATCTAGCCAGTCTTTGCTACAACAATTGATAAATATTTACAGAATAAATACATTAATAAATAAATAAAATATACATATCTAAATGTAGTCTAATATCCATTTGGTTTGGTTTGGTTTTTTAGCTTCTCAATAATGCCTTAGAGTTGAATTTGCATCAGCTAAAATGCCTAAAGCATTTTCACTATTTGCTGTTAAGGCCCCACTGAGAGAATAGTAGTTTCCCAAAAGGCCCACTTCCAACCGGGAGTCTTGGCGCATCCCTGTAATCCCAGCACTTTGAGAGGCCAAGTGGAGGATGGCTTAAGTCCAGGAGTTCAAGACCAGCCTGATCAACATAAGGAGACCCCTGTTTTTACAAATAATATAAAAAGTTAGCCAGGCATAGTGGCACATGCCTATAGCCCCAGCTACTCAGGAGGATGAATTAGGAGGATTACTTGAACCCAGGAGGTTGAGGCTGAAATGAACTGTGATCATGCCACTGCACTACAGCCTGGGTGACAGAGTGAAACCCCCAGCTCAAAAAAAAAAAAGTTCCATTTCCCAGAGGAGATGGGTTTGGAGAAATTTGTCACTAAATGTTGCTGTTGCTCCATTACCAGGCCATTTTCTAGCATGGGCCTCTCAGACTAGACCCATTCTCTGATAACGTGACAGCATCTACCTCTTCCTTAGGAAACAGAGCCAAAAGTTCTTTTTCTTGAAATTTTGCTTCCAAAATCTCACTTGGATGGTTCCTAATATGTTTCTGTTGGCCAAGAAACTAACCTTTTTCTATTCTATTCTTGAGCAAAGGTGGCCCCACTTGAGGTTTGCTTCTACTCCACCTCAATCTCCTTCACAGGTGGGCAGCCCTGGATCAGGTGAATGTTGCAACTTCTGAAGTCAGGTCCTTCAGAGATCTGGAGCTTCAACCTTAACCCCTCTTAGAACACTCTTTCTCAGTAGGTGCCTAATAACCATATAAGACTTTTGGGTAAGGGTTACATTTCTTTTCTTTTTCTTACATGGCTAGCTGCCTAAAAATTTGATTTTGGGGGATTGGAGACATAAATAAGGTAAACAATATAGCCTCTAGATGATAACACTGGTCAGTATCCTCACAACCTTATGAAAGGCAGTGATTCCTTAAAGAGGACAGGAAAGCTTCATTCATTGAAGCCCACCCTTTCCCCCCTGCTCTGCAGACCATCTTTGTCTCATACCAGGCGACTGCGAACGGATTTGTGTCAACATTCAATATTATTCTATTTGGCTATCCCTTGCCTCTATACAATACAGCCTTATTTACTGTAGCTTTATAATAAGTTTTGATATCTGAAAGAGCAAGCCCTCACATTTAGTTCTTTTTTCAAGGTAGTTGCAGTCTGTAACACCAAGGAAGGCTGAGAGTATAAGAGCTCAAGAGGAAAGAGTCGATGCAGGGGTAGGATCCATGCAGCTCAGAATAGACTGTCTGAACCTAAACAAGATGTGGAGGGGTCCACGCAAGGAAGCAGCTCTGCGCTGAGGCTGACTGCCAGAGCCTGACACCCACCTTACCTTGCTCAAGTTCTGACTCCCACACGAGACTGCCTCTTTTTGGGAATTCCCTTTTCATCTTGGTCAGGCTCTAATACTCAGTATCAAGAAGGTGTCTCCCTGAAGGGGAAGGCTTGGAGTAGGATGTCAGAGCCTCAAAACAATGATGAGGACGTCTCTGCAGTGCAAGGGTCCAGACTGGGATGTTATAACCTGGGTCGGGTGAGAGGGGCATTGCCACAGAGGGACAGCTCAGCAAGGGGAGTCATCTGCTGAGTGTAATGAGGAGGAGGTCCACCCAGGAGGAGGCTCAGGATGAAAAGTCAGAGCCTGGTGGGGTCAGGAGGGTGTCCTTCAGGGTTGAACCAGCATAGGGAGTCAGAACCCTAATGCAGTGAGGAGGAGTCCATGGGGAAAGGGGCAGGCATAGGGTGTCGGGGCCTAAGCCAGATGAGGAAGTCACCGCTTAGAAAGGAGAGACCATAGGCCAGGCATAGTGGCTCATGCCGGTAATCCAAGCATTTTTTGAGGCTGAGGTGGGTGAATTGGTCCCAGCTACTTGGGAGTCTGAAGCAGGAGGATTGCTTGAGCCTGGGAAGCAGAGGTTGCAGTGAGCTAAGATGGCGCCACTGCACTCCAGCCTGAGTGACCGAGAAAGACCCAGTCTCAAAAAAAAAAGAAAAAAGAAAAGAAAGGGGAGACCAATGTGGGATGTTAGAGCCCAAAGATGGTAAGAAGGGAAGTGCAGCAGCAGCAATGGAGATTGCATTTATACAGGGATATCAATCAAGTAAATAAATATATTAGGGATAATTTAGTCAGTTTCTCACTCTCAGAAAAAGATGTTACAAATATGGCAAGGCAGAAAATGAAAATAAACTGTGTAGTATTGAACTGGATTTGGATGAATCAGTGTGAACAACAGTTTTCAACATATGTAGTTGGCTATAGAACTAAATATAGATATGAGTATATATGTCTGTATGTGTGTATATAAATGTACACATTCCCCAGCTCTGTCCACTGAGCAAGCTTGAGGCCTGAAACATCCCAATAGCAAGGATCATACTGGTACCCTGATCTCAGCTTCTAAATATTAGACTCTGCTTCAAGGAACCAGGACACCTTGAAGAAAGGACTGATCTCT